AGCAGGCAGCGGTACTAGGCGGGGCTGGGCCATGGAAGGGCAGAGGGAGGTGCTGTCCCAGGCTGGGTATGCTGGTGCCCCCAGGCGGGGAGCGGCGTTGCTGGGGGCAGAACGGCCTGCCCTGGCTGTGGGATGTCATGAGGGGGAGCCGTGGCTTGGCCTTGGCCTGCTGACGATTGCCGTGTGCCCACTAGGGGTTCACCCCGGGGCAGGGCACACCTGGCTCTGGGGGAGGAGAGGCCTGGGTCTGCCAAGGGGAGGGCAGGCGGCCCCCTGGCCCAGGATGCTATGCAGTGCGCCCTAGCCTCTCCTGAGGTGAAGAGTCCGGCTCAGTCCCGCACTGATTCCTGGCTGGGCTGGGCAGGGCGTGAGGAGTGCAGAGCTTGTGCCCCCATCCTGGCAGGGAGAAGGGCCCTGGGCCCCACGCTGAGCTCAGCTTCCTCCTCTGAGCCCCTCGCAAGCTCCTGCCCTCTGGGAGCCTGACTCCCGCATCCCTCAGGGCCTCTGGTGACTGCCCCAGTGGCAGCCCAGGGCTGAGGTCTCTCGTTGCCCCCGGCCTGCACAGCCACGCTGGAGCGTGGGCGGCTTTGAACCAAAAGGGCCATTGGGGCAGCTGGCCTGGCAGCACCATGGGGGAGCGTGGGCAGTGGTGGAATCCCGGCTCTGTGGGATTGCTGAGGGCAGGCAGGAGCATTTTGCTTGGGGGCCGGGATGATGGAGAGAAGGGAGAGTCTGCAGGGGAGAGTGGGGCAAGGTACCAGCCTGGGCGGGCTGCGTGGGGGTTGGGGGCATCAGGCTGTGAATCTGAGAGACCCCAATGGAGCTGGCTCATGGGAGGCGTGAGCCCTCCCAGCCTCCTGGCTGATCCCTGTGCAGCCTGTCTGTAGATTGAAAGGGTAGCGCTGGCAGGCAGGGTTTCCTGTCTGTGGCTGGGTGGGGTGGGTGTCTCCATGTGGTGTCTCCTGCCTGCTCCGTGTGCCAGCGCAGTGCGTGGCACTGGATGACTGACCTAGGGCTGTGGGGGGAATGTGCCTGGTGCTGCTTCCTGGGGACAGCAGCCGGCCTGGCTAGTCAGTGTGGAGTCCCCTCCGCCCCCCTTTACTGGAGAGCTGGAGCAGCTGCTGAGGAGGGGCTGGGAGGAAGCCCGGAATGGAAGGGGTAATTTCCTCATTAGCTGCCCCGCCCTCGCACACCCGTCCCAGGGGAGCAGCAAGAGGCCCTGTCTCCTCCCAGCTGTTCTCCCTGCGCCTCTCTCCAGAACTGACTCGCTTTCCTTGCCAGGGTTCACGGGGTCTGAAGCCGCTTCCCTGCCCCAGGGGCCAGAGGCAGGGCCCGATCCTGGCTTACAGCCCCCCGTGAGAGAGCCCTGCCTGGGGCTGTGTGGAAGAGAGCCAGCTGGACCCTGGCTGGCAGCCCCCCTGCCCCAGGGGCTGTTCCCAGCTGTGGTGTTGCCGCAGGGTGTGAGAACCAGCCGCAGCATGGCTGATACCACCTGTACTAATGGGCAGCGCGTGAGGGGGAGGGGGTCCCCACTCAGAGCCAGACGGGACTAAGGTCGTGGCTCCAGAAGGGAGCAGGTATCTCTGGCTTGCTTGCGCTCTCCAGTGCATCGGGCAGTCCAGCGTGAGCCCTGTGCCACTCAGCCCCCTGCTGTCTCTGGCAGCCTCGTCTCAGAGTGGGGTCCCACTGGTGCATCCCTGGGGCTCAGACGCTCTTGCAGGAGGTGACTTGTAGCCAGCAAAATGCCACCTCCTGCCCTGGCGTACGTGTCCTGGGCTCCAGGGCAGCCTGTGAGTGAAGGGGAGAGGGATGCCCAGGACTCTGCCACTTGGTCCCACCAGAGGCCCCATGGCTGGTACCTGGCTATCTCCCCTCCCCCCAGTTAATCTCTGCTCGGTATCCCTTCCATCCCACCTTTTCCTCCCCCTGCTCTCCTGTCTGACCCCATCTCCATCAGCCCGAGGGGATGAGCTGGGGCTCCGGGGAGGGGAATCTCTCCTGTTCTCTGGGGATCAGGGGCAAGGTGTCTGGCAGGCCAGCGCCCCGCCCCACACAGCATGGCGCAGAGCACTGGTGACCCGCGCTCGCCCTCCCACCCGGCTACGGGCTCTGGATAGCTGTGGGCCCTTTGTGCAGCCGTTCTGGGCCAGGTGTTTGGGATTCAGGCAAGGACTAGCAGCTCCACCTGATGCTTCAGCGTCTAGGAAGCAGAGTCCGGTGCAGCTCTGAGCCACCCTGCTGGCTGGTCCCCCCACCCCTGGTGTGCCTGCCAGCTCCCTAACCTGGTGCATCAGAGCCGCTCCCTAGGGACTCCACCACTGAGCGCCCTAGTGGTGGGGAGGGGGTCTGGGGCAGGCAATGGTTACCCCCCTGTGGGTGCCTGGGCTTCCAGAGGCACCAAAGGGCACTGGCTTCTTGGGGGTGGGTCCAGCTGGCCTGGCACCTCCTGGAATGACGCTGCATGTTGGCAAGGTGAGCTCTGGCTGCGGAAATGGGGGAGCCGGTGGCTGACCTGACCCACACCATGCTCCGTAGTCTCCCCCCCCCCCCCCCAGCGTCGCATGTGGGCTGGATCCGGCTCGCTGCTGAAATCCGGGCCCAACCTGCTGCTGCTCTGTCCAGGCTGGAAGTGGGAACCTGGGCTGGAGCTGCCAGGAGGGAAGTGGGGGCTGGGGGGAGCCTGGGGCCCTTGCCTCCTGGCTGGCACCTGGGGGACTCCCCCTCTGTTGAGTGGTTGCGGCGTGTGGCCAGGAATCTGGAGTGGGGTCTCCCCTCGGGCGGTTTATGGAGCGGTGTCCCTAGCTGGCTGATGGGGAACGGGCCCAGGCTACAGATGGCTGGCGATGTTAATGCCACCCTAGCCCAGTCCCCCAAGAAACAGACAAAGGCTGGGGCTGCCGGGATGGGAGCTGCCTACCCCCAGGGGGGATGTGGGTTCACCTCCTGCACTGGGGGTCTTTCCCCTTGGGCCTGGTCAGTGGGCTGCAGGGTTCGTTTGGCTCCATGTGCTCAGGGGCAGGGGAGGCGGAAGCAGGAGCCCAGGCTGGGGCTGGCACCGCTGCTCCCACCCCTCAAAGGCTCCATCTCGAACAGCAGCTGGTTTGGGTCAAATAGTTTATTTTTAACAAATTCCATGAGAAATAGCGGCTGGAGCCAGTGGCTCCTTCAGCCCTGACACGCTGCAGTCAGAGAGGCGCTCCGGCTTGTGCAGGGCCCAGCTGGCTGTGCTCCTGCCCTCGCTTCCCGGGGTCTCCTGGGGCCCCACCCCTTGGGCTTGGGGTCTCTGGGCTCCCCCCTCCCGCTAGGCCTGGCTTCTTGCACCTGGCCCAGCCGCGGGGTCCCTGGCTGGTCCCTGGAGACGAGTCCCTGTGCAGAGCAAGGCAGGAGTGCTGCCGCAGCAACAGTAAGGGAGCCACCCTTGGCTCCTCGGCCGGGCACAGGGCCCACGTGGAGCCGGCGGTGCCCTTCGTCCTGCATGCCTGGCGCTGCCCAGGGCAGCACTCTGCAGACCTGTCTGAGCAGCCTTCCCCAGAGCGGCAGCAGGGTGTCCCGTGTGGTGGGCTGGCTGAGGCCGCTGTGCTGCCGGGGGGTGCGGGGGAAACAGGTCCTGTTTTGCACAGGGTTTGGAGGGTCTCTGAGCTGGGCATGCTGGGAGCCCAGGTTCTCCACAGCCACCCGCACCAGCTCCAACCACTCCCGAATCTCTGCACTGTTCCCTGCCCCTCCACGGGCCTACCTGCTGGGCATGCCGTCAGAGCTCGTCTTGTGGCAGGACAGGGCAGTGGCTGCAAACAGTGTCTGACCAGGCTCCTCCGGCTCATGGAGCAGGGGGCCCTGTTTGCTCCAGGCGAGGGGGAGCTGCTCCCCAGGGCCCTCCCTTGGGGCGCCCAGTCGCTGATGGGAACCTGGGCCCAGTGCTTGGTCACTGCACTGTGCCCCCTGCTCCCCCATTCTCTGGGCAGCCCAGTGTGGCTTGGCAGTGTGTGTGTCTGTGGGTGGGGGGGGGGGGGGGGGGGAGGAGACGATAGCTGGACATCGCTCCCAGCCAGAGCCCAACCGAAGGAAGGGACATGGGGATCAGAGCTTGCCGCGAGATCGACGTCCGGAAACGGGGCCTCCCGCGCCCTGGCACGCTGCCCTCGCCGCTCCGGCGTCTCCCTCCAGCTGCTGCAGCACCCAGGATAGGGCCCCCCGCTGCAGGCAGAGAAGCAGAGCAAACTCTGAGGGTGGGGAAGGGAACAAAGGGGTATTGGGGAGGGGGCAGGGGCTGCGGTGGTCAGGGGGAGTTGCATTGGTGCATCGCGGGTGCCTGTCGACCCCATCCCATTACCGTCTCCGCAGGCTCCCTTTGCCCCAAGCAGACCCAGCCGTTGGGCCTTCCATTTTCTTTCCCGTCCAACCACTACCCTGTGCCCCCCGGACAGATCTGTGTCTCTGCAGAGGGGCCTGGCCTGGACATGCCCTGGAGTGTGCTTCCAGCTTCCTTCCTCCCCGGGGCAAGCGTTGGCAAGGCGGCAAGTCCGCGGCATGATCTGAAGCTGGACAGTGTGGGCCCAAGTCTTGCCTCTGCGTTCTGCTCCCTGCCCGGGCACTGCCAGCTGCAGTGTTGGGCAAGGCCAGTTGGCCTCCTCCTGCCCAGTCCCTGCTCTCTGTCCCTGTTGGCACGTGCATGTGTGACGCTGCCTCTGAGAGCCACGCCGGTCCCCCGCTGCATAGGCGCCCTCTGCTTTGTGTGCTGGGGCCGGAGGGCTGTGCGCCAAGGGCACACGCTGCCTGGCGAGGAGAGGACAGTGCCCAGCAGTGTGTGCGGTGACGCTCCTGTGCAGCTAGCGCAGTGGCACAAACAGCCCCATTGTGCTGAGCGGGGGCGGGGGCGGCCCGGCGGGTGGGGCGCTCAGCAGGGGTGGCACTGACCGCCGCTCCCTTGGGAGAAGGGGGCTGGATAAATAGCAGGCTCTAGCCGTCCCTGGGTGACCTCCCCGCTCTGCTCTGCTCCTCAGCTGGAGGCCACGCTGGACCTCGCTGAGCGGCGCCAGATCCGCTCGGCCATCCGGGAGCTGCGGCGCCAGGAGCTGGAGCGGGACGAGGAGGCTCTGGCATCCAAGCGCTTCCGCTCGGAGCGCGGCAGCCGCCGGCAGGAGAACAAGGAGAACTGGCTGCGGTGAGTGCAGGGGCTGGGGCATGGGGTGTGGGCCCCGCCACACCTCGTGGGCAGGGCTGAGCTGCCCACCCCGGCCCAATGGACCTGGTTTATGGAGCAGAGTCTTTGCCCCTCCCAGCAGGGATGGCCGTGCCCCTGGCAGGCAGGCCGGTGCTCGCTGCTCCCTGGATACCTGGTCCTTCTGCCGTAGGGCCCGTGTGGGATGAGGCAGGCTGGGATGGCAGCTCCTGCTTGCTCCGTGCCCCTGGTCCCCACAGAGGAGAAGTTACAGCTTGGCTTAGGGGAAGTGCCCCCATCCTGGCATCATGCCGTCTTGGCCCCTCCCTGCCCGCACCACCTGGAAGCTGAGCGTGCACTCGGATTTCTGGCACTGGGGGACAGCCCTGTTCCCCAGCCTGCGTGCCCCTGGTCAGACTGTCTCTCTACAGGTCTCAGCGGCTGGAGGAAGAGCAGCAGAAATCCCTGGTGCTGCTCTCCGGGAAGCTCGACTCCATCACGGACGTGGAGGAGCTGACGGCTCTGGTGAGTTGCCCTCCAGGGCGTGGGCTGCTGGCTGCCCTCTGGGGGAGGGAATGACCCCGCTCTGGCTCTGTTCCGGGAGGAAAGGCTGCGCTCTGCCCTGGGTGTGGGGTGGGGAGGATCTGGTGCCAGCCAGGGTGCTTGCTGCCTTCCAACTCGGCTCCCGTCACTCCCTCTCCTTTCCTGTGATCAGGGCAGCCAAGCACAAGATGGGGAGCTGGGACTCCTGGGTTCTGTTCCCAGCTGTGCCCCTTACTCGCTGTGCGACCTGGGGCAGGCCATGTCCTTGACCCGCTCTGTGCCTCAGTTTCCCCTCGGTAAAACAGGCCGGGGTGCGGGTCGATTGCTGTACCCTTGCTACTGCTCGCACACTCTGGTTGGGGGTCCCCCGGTCTCGTCAGCGCCTTCCCCCATCTGCCATGTCCCATCACCTTCCGCTCCCATCAGCTACCCTGTCTGAGCAGCGTCCAGGGGAGCCGTGGCCAGGCAGTGCTGAGCAGTGCCGTCAGGCTGCTGGCAAGGCGCAGAGGGCTGGGCGGGCATGGAGCCCCCGGTGCCAGGAGCAGGGTGGGTACTTGCCGTAGTGCCAATGGAGCAGTTGAGATTGGGACCTCTCACGACCCTGGCTGGCGAGCAGGGCTGTGCGTATGGCAGCGCGGGGGCAGAGCCGGCTGTCGACTGGCACGTTCTGGGGTCTCCCTCCTGGGGGCTACGGCTGAAGGAGCAGGGCAGTGGAGGGTGTCTCGCCAAGGGGACCTGAGTCTAGGGCTGCAGTGTCCTGGTGGATGGGAGGTGGGGAGGATGCAGACGGTTTGGTCTCCCACTGGCATGGGGGTGCGGGCGGGAGGAAGAGGCTGCTGGCTAGTTTGCCTGGAGTGTGAGCTCCTCCCCAGCAGGTGCTGCACCTCCCACCCTTACCCCCAGTAGGCAGCGTTCAGTGAGAGCGTCTGGAGCACTGTTCCCCCGGGGCAGCGCCTGACCACCTAGCTGTGGGGAAACTGAGGCAAGGCGGGGACATGCCTTCCCCAGGTACCATGGGGAGTTTGTGGCAGAACTGTCACTAGAACCCAGGAGTCCTGGCTCCCAACCATCCACTATAACCCCTGCTCTGTGCTCCCTCCCTTCCTGCCCCTGGCGCCCATGCATGGAGCAGTGGCAGAGGAAACCTGCACTGTGCCAGGCGGATCATACGCCTAGACAGGATTTCTGGCGGCTGCTGAACCCACCTGGCCCATGTGGGAGTGGGCTGCAGCCGAGCCTGGGTGGGCTGGACCTGGCGCTGGGGGTGCTCCCTCCCCCATCGTGCCAGGAGCCTGGGGTGGCTGTGGAGCTGAGAGAGCCCATGTTGTGTCCCTTTCTGCCACAGCTGCGAGGAGCCGGCGAGTACGAGGAGCGCAAGCTGATCCGGGCCGCCATCCGCAAGCTGCGGGCCAACGAGATTGAGGGTACGGCACCCCTGTCCCCTGGCTCCTTGCGCAGGCCTAGCCTGGCACTGCCCCAGGCCAGCTACTGGTTAACTGGCTCCTCCCTCCCTCCCTTCCAGCTGCAGCCTCGGCAGGGAGAGCCCACAACAGCCGGAAAGGGGAAAATGAGCCACTGGCCTCCAAGGGGAAGGAGAGCTCGGATGGGGGCAGCTCTGTGGTGAGTGGGGTGGTGGGAGCTCTGTGGTGAGTGGGATGGGGGGGAGCTCGCCGGTGAGGTGTGGGGCCGGAGGGAGCTCTGCGATGAGTGGGGCGGGGGGGGCTCGCTGGTGAGGTGTGGGGCCGGAGGGGGCGGTGCGATGGGGGGGGGGGGGGGGGCGCGCCGGTGGGGTGGGGGGCCAGGGGGGCTCTGCAGGAACTGGGAGGCCTGGGGCAGAGGGTTAGTGTAGGGCTCTGCAGTGAGCCGGGGATGTGCCCACTCCCACACGTGCTATCGCTGCACTTGGGGGCAGTCTCCCGCCACATGCCCAATGTGCTGGGCATTGTGCTGGCTCCATCTTGTCCCAGGCTTTCCTCCCATGCATCCCAAGTGCCCTCTAGGGTGCCCACTGTCGCTGGGTGCCATTCCTCCCTCTTGCATCTCAGGGCACCCTGGGACCCCACAGCCCCATGGGTAATCGCCATGGTCCCACCCTGCCATCCCTGAGCCCTGGGCGGTGGGGCTTTGGCCCTGGGGCAGGTGGGTTTCCCACGGCTGCTCTGGGCAGTGATGTGGGCAGGGGATCTGTGCCGGGGGTCCTTGAGGCTTTCTTCCTGAAATCGGGGGGGGGGAAGACTAGCTGAGCCTGAAGTCTCCTCAGCCTCCTGGAGCTGGTCAGTTCTCGCCCCTCCCCGCCGCCTTGAGAGAAGGGCTGACTGGCTGGCTTGGAGGGTGGGAGCTGGGCTGAGCCCTTTTTCCCTCACCCTGGGGACTTCCAGCCACTTCCTCCCTGGGCTGGATTCGAACCCGCCCCCCAGAGGAGCACGGCAAGCTGCTGAGGGCTTGCTCCAGGCTCCTAAGGAGATGTGTAAGGGGGTGGCCTGTACGTCCCAGTCCCCGGGGCAGGCCGGGCAGTGAGGAGCACTGAGCCCTCCCCAGGGGAAGCCCATGTCCCCCCTTGGGCTCGGGGCCGGCCAGGTTCTCCGCATCTCTGCCTCCATTCAGGTGTCGCGCAGCCCGCGGGCTGCCCACTGCCGGCCCCAGGCCCCACCGGGGGGCGACTTGGGAGCAGGGTTAATGTGAACGCCCAGTCCTGGGGGGGTGGGCAGGGACAGCCGGCCAGGGGCCCGCAGCTGGGTGCTCCCTGTCGGGGGGCTGGCAGCCGGGCTGGCACTCACTCCCCTGTTCCCCGGGCACAGGTAGAGGACCTGGAGGAGCGGGAGCGCATCCGGGCTCAGATCCGGGAGCTACGCAGTGAGCAGAGGGGAGAGCCCCACAAACCGGATGCCCAGGGTGAGTCCATGCAAATCCTGCCCCCGGGGCCTGATTTCCATAGGCAAAGTCCGGCCCGGCCCACACCGGGGCAGAGCCTGGGGGCCCAGAGGGAAGGACACAGAGCCGTCTTCCCCCGCTGGTCATGCAGGGGCAGTGGGGCGGGTGGGTGGGACCCCGCCATGCCCTGCCCAATGGGGTCGTAGCCTGTAGGGGCTGCCTGCTCTCTCCCTGGCAGCCGCCCCTTTCCCAGGCTGCAGTGTGGGGTCGGGGCAGCACCCCGTTTGCTGCTGGGCCCTGAGCAGGGGTCTTGCCCTGCAGGGCCGGGACATGGCAGTTGGTGTGCGGCAGAGAGCGGTGAGAGAGGGTTTGCCCCAGTCGGGGGTCTCACTCGGGAGGGGTGGGGGGCACTCTGGGGCGACCTTCCCCCATAAGAAGCTGGTTCTTTCTCCTGCAGACCCGGCCTCGGGGACCCTGCTGCTCCTGGACCCGCTGCATCCCCCGCGCTGCTCCTCGTCCTCGGAGCTGGAGCCGCAGCAGAGAGCCGAGCCCCCGGAGCGCAGCTCCCAGAGCCCTGAGCCCGGCCCAGGGGCAGAGCAGCCCTGCACACAGGAGGGGGACGGCCAGGGGCTCGGCCAGCCAGAGGCAGGGGGCAGTGGGGAGCCCAGCCAGGGCGGGCCAGAGCAGCAAGAGCCACCTGCGACCACGGGCGACAGCTGCCCAGCGGAGGAGACTCGCCGGAGGCTGCCCAGCGACGGGAGCCAGAGCAGCCAGGTAACGGGCCAGCTGCCCCTCCCCGGGGCCTGAAGGGGAGTGCCCAGGAACGGGCTGGGCCTGCCCTCTCGGCTGGCCGGCGCCCACAGGCTGTATGGGACAGGGGTGAGTGGAGGGCCCTGCGAATGCTGGCCGCTAGGTGGCTGCTCACCACAGGGACCCGCTTTCCAGGCCTGAAACAGGACGTGAGCGAAATGAGTCTGGGTCTTAACACGTCCCCATTGATCAGCGACACAAAACTCCCCTGCGCCTCGCAAGGTCAGCCCAGAGTGGCATGGCAGGGGGCAGCGGGGCTGGGGCCGGATTATCAGGGGGCTGTGTTGGGATTGAGGGGGGTGGGCAGAGCCGGGGGACAGGGGCAGGGCTGGATTGGCTGGGGGCTGGGCAGAGTCAGGGGAGGGGGGCCAGGCAGGCAGTACCCAGCACCATCTGGCACCTGTCGGATTGAGGCGTTGCTGGGGCTAACCCTCCACCTCCCCCTTCCCCCAGGTCAGCGTCTGTGTCAAAAGCCAAGTGCCCGAGAAGCCGGCCAGCTCTGCCAACAAGACGACGCGAGCTGGTAAGACGCAGGCGCAGCGCCATCCCCTCCCGCACGCCATCCCCAGCTGTGCCTGGCCAGGGCCTTGTGGTCAGGGAGCCCCTGCCGGGAGTTGCACCAGTGGATGGTGCCCACTAGTGTATATGGACTGTCTG